GGGGGGGGGGGGGGCTTTAGACATGTGACAGGAATAAGCACTGAGATTTATCGAACAGTCACACCAAGCTTCTCCAGCACACGCACTCCTTTTTCTTGGTATTCTTGTCGGGTCATCCAGAAGTTGTCTTTGTCTTTCATGATGTCTGCTAGAACTGCACCACCTAAGAATACCATGTGCTTTCGACGAGGCGGATCTTCAATTCGGATCTTAAATTTCTAGGAAGGAAAAGGGAGACCGTATTGTTGGGACTCAACACAAAACCACACAAAAAACCCATGCCATTTGCTACAACAGTGGAGTAGGAATTGTTCAATACGGAGAATGTGCACACAAAACTAGAGGGCTTAGCTGAGGGCACTCAGCATGCAAGCTTCCAGCTTGTGCAATCTGAAGGAAAATAATTATGATGCACCAGAAATTAGAGACAGACAGATGTATTTCCTAAAGTTACTTCACTAAACTATCCATTAAAAAACAAAAAACAAAACAACATGCACACAATGCGCCCCCCCCCAGCATTCAAATGTAAAACATGGGTTTTGAATTTAGCATTTCATGAACAGCATGGAATTTCTGAAGTTTTTTTCCAGTGGGTGGCTAAGATTATCAGAAGAGTGGACTTGTTCACAAAATACTGCAGGGTCTGTATAAGCAAAGTTAGGCTAAATCATGGATAGAGACAACAGGAAAGGAACAGTCTTATGCATATATTCTGACCACAAGAGAACCTAAAGAATTCTCCTAGTCGATTTCAACTTTAACTCTTCTATAGAAGAATGAACCAAATTAGCATGTTTTTTGGAATTTTTTATTTGTTAAAAATTAAGAACAGACCAAGTCTCAAAGTTGGGTTAAGGTTCAGAAGTTAAATTATTTTGATACGGTTAATATTCTGTACATTTAAAAGATTATCTGGATAATAACTGAACTTTTTTTTTGGGGGGGTGGAATACGCTGTTAGAGGATGGATGTTTTAATAAAGGATATTTTTGAAAAATCTGGACATAATTCAACATTAAAAACAGCATGCATAAAGCATTTCCTCTATAAAAAAAAAAATCTTCTTCTTAAAAAGCAGGCCGCAATGCAATACAGGTCTAGTTCTGTAACGTATGAGCAATACTGTTGTCTGACCATAACAGTAATCAATGAATAAAAGGGAAGGGGGACAGAAAACTGACCTGCACAGAGTAATGGTAGAACTGTTAACGAAAAACTTGGCTACACGGGTGAACTACTCAGAGGTTAAATTCAAACCTGTGATATGCAGCACGCAACAACGCTCCAGAAAAAAAAAAATCAGTTGGTTTTGCTCATGTAACAGTATTTTATTAAGATACAGTGGGGCTTTGGAACACTAAAGCTTAAGAGCACATTTACATGAAACTAACCCAAATTTCAAAATTCACTTAGTACCAGAGTATGGCCTTATTTCAAGTTCATTTAAGCAAATCACTAGAAAGCCTGTATCAGACAGTTTGAAACACTGGCATGTAGTTAGAAAGACAGAATGTTAGTGATACATGGCAGGAACTGTTCTTTTCTATTCCTGTCCATCTGGCTCCCTCTTGTGGTAATTCAGGATATTAGATGGAGCTACAAATAAGCAGGTAAAATCATTACTTACAGAAAGTTTTTCCACATCTCCTTTGAGAACTCGCTCCAGGTACAGCTGTTTAAGTTCACGTTCCAACCGTGAAGGCAGCCCAGGGTACATAGTGGAACCTCCAGACAGCACAATGTGCTTATAGAATTCAGACCTAAAGAAAAAGCATTCTTTCTAGTGTCTCCTTGTATAACTAGTAGATACCGCAGTGTATAAACAAACGTAAAACCAAGAAATACAGACAACTGTCACCGACACAAAGCCTATACATTCAACAGTAAAACAGCTATATTTTTCTTGCTCAATATAAACTCTCTATGAACTCTGTCCTCGAGAGCTGAGATCTTAAGCACATGTAGGTGTTCCTCTCCTGACGATTTTGTTGTTTACTTCTAAGCACCGTAACTTTTGTTCTTTAACTGATGTTGTTCTGGTCTATCCTTTTTTGTTGACAGAAGTTAGAGAGAAGTATTATTGAATGTTCTGCTCTCACCTGGTGTCAATGTCAGCAGCCTGGATGGTGTTAAACAGCAATTCAGCAACACCAACCCCCTCTACATTGATTAAATGAGGCTGAAACAAGGCTTCTGGGGCCTCAAATCGTTCACCACCAACTTTGATAATCCTGCCATCTGGGAGCTATAGAAAAGAGAGCACAATTTTAACCTCATTTTAAATTTCTACACTGCTTAACAGTATGTAACAGAAAATAAATCTTTGTCCAAATTTGCAACAGCAATACCAAGTCTTGCAACCAATTTTATGTGTTTTTCCAGCTATATACAGAAGTTAGAAACTTTGCAAGTTTTAGCCACATACCACAGTTTAAGTTAGTTTTAACGTATTATGAGTTATGCAGTAGGAAAAGTCACTGTGCTTTTCACTAATCCCAAAAACTGATATCTGGTTCTGACGTCTCAACAGCTAGATGTAAGAAGCTAGAGATCTGGCAACAATCTACTGTTCTCCCAGTTTTCTATTTTCTCCAAGTTTGTTTTGGTAATACAGTAATTTGATTTCAACTATTGATAAAAAAAAAAGTAGAAAAATCTCATTGACAAAAAAAATCGTAATTTTGCTGGAGAATACCTCTCCACTTAAAATATTCTGATAGGACAACATTGGCATGACACACATGGTACACCCTGCAAGAGAAGGCAGATTTAAGCAACTCCTCTCATAAACCATCCTGTCAGAAAAGAAAAAAAAAAGTAAAAAGACATAAGAAAAAGAACCACAGCTGTTAAAAGAGAAAGACATTTAAAAAAAATAAATGGATAGCCATACACTTGAGAGATTTTGGACTTCAGTAGGTTTCCTTTTTACTGTTGCTGGGTTTTTTTTGTCTCTGTTAGAAAAGCTTATGACTTTGCATCTATAATGTTACTTTTTTTTTTTTTTTTTTTTAAGAACACCAGTATTTAAGTTAAAACTATGATTTTTCTATTCCTAAATTACTCTCTTTCATTACTTACCGTATAAGACTCAACTAATACTGTGGTCTCCAATGCCAACTTCTGTTCCTGTTCAATGTTGTATCCCACATAACATAACTTCTCCTTGATCATTCGAACAGTCTCAAAATCAGCAGAATGGTTGAAGGCATATCCCCTCAGCAACAGCAGCTGTTTGAAAATATTCAAGTAAAGTTGGAGTGACTCAGTTTTCTATTAGTGATTAAGTGTGAGCATACATTTAACTGATTGTTTATTCAGGGACATACTGACTTCAATGATAAACATGGCTGAGGTCAAAGAAATCATGCTTGTAAAGTAAAATAAGAACAGTGGTCAAATTACTCATTTCCAATAGCAGAAAAATCATAGGATTACTTTGGAAACTAGAAATTCACATTTACCACTACAGTTCACTATAAATGATTTTTTCAAACAAAAGAAAAAGCAAGGCAAAAATCAGTTGCTTCCTCTGAACCAATTAGGTGCCACCCTGCCCTCAGAGCTCAAGTGTGTTAATATCACTTATAATGGTACAATTCATTTTAATTTGACCATTTTAATTGGACCAGAGTTGCTATTTCTACACAGCCATATGAAAAAGCTAGCAAAGCTATTTCTACATCTTAGAAAGTCTTACTCCAATTCTAAAGATCTACAAACACAAAAAATGCCCCCATCACTAGACTGGCTAAATCCCAACCTACACCAGAGCAAAATATTAGCTTTAATATGCAGGTCAAGAAGCATGTATTTTTGCCAAATAAGACAATTTTTTTTTTTTTTTAATAATACAGTCATTAAATGATTAAATTTGAATCAGGAGTGGATTTGCCCATCTTGTGAAACTGGACCATGTGGAGTCCAAATTCAGACAATAATACTTCTTATCCTAAGGAACTAGGAGAAGGTGGAAGTTATACTTCAATTCAAACTGAAACTTTGTATCTTAGTATAAATTCAGCCTATTTTGGAAATTTCTAAGGAAACACGATGTCATCTAGTACACCACATCTCAAGCCTAGTTTCTCTTGGGAGGCGGACGTGATCCAGGAACACCCCATCTGTAATCAGTCTGCTGTTTATATTTAGAATGTGGTTTATATAAACCCAGGGGTGTCAAATTCACTTTGTGTCCCTTTGGATCTGGGTTGTGGGGCTCTGTGCAGGCCGAGTACAGCGCAGGACAGGAGGTAATGGTGGCATCAGCTGTAACCTGGAGTACGTGGCAGTAGCATTAGCAGCTCTGGCTCTGACCAAGAGTATGCAGCAGTGATGTGAGCCCCCTGAGACATGCTTGTGCTGGAACTGGAGCTGAGGCTGCTCCTGAATGCTCTGTGCCACTGTGGCAGCTCCAGCACAGATCACACAGCAGGAGCCACTGGCCAAGAAGGTATGGCTGAGGTTGTGGAGACAGGCAAAGGAAAAGGAGGGCAAACAGGGTTGTCTCAGCCTTCACTCCCTCTCCAGCCACTATGCGTCACTGACACCAGGGCTCAAGGGCCCTGGATTCTACAACAACCTACTCCCAGCTACATTACCCAAAAATCCAGTGACCAACTGGCAGTCTGGCAGGCCAGATAAGAGTACCCCCTGGAAGCTGGACCTGGCCCACAGGCTGTAAATTTGACACCTTTGATGTAATCCACAGACTAAAATTGTATTTTAAAAGAGGATTCTGGAGCAAGAGAAAGATTCCACAGCAAATTTTCCTATAATAGCTAGGAAACATTCTTCTTTCTGAACAACTTTTACTGGCTTGTGGAACAAAGTATTTGTGGAGCAAAGTATTTGATTTTAAAATCCAAATCATGAAGACAATATAAATGTGTTTTCATTAAGACATGGACAAACTCACGTTTTCTTTTTTTTCTAGTTTACCTTGATAAGGTATCTGGTAATATCCCTCCCAGCAATGTCTAGTCTTCTGGTGAGATGAGGAAGAGAGAAACCTTCATACACGGGGCAAATATGAGTTACACCATCTCCAGAGTCCACAACAACACCAGTCAATAAACCTAAATAGGACAATATTAGATCCAGAGGCAAAGATTATTAATTGCATTATTTCACACCCCTGTAACTAAGGCAACCTGGCAGGCATGCTAACATCCTGATGAAAGAACTGGCTTAATTAAGACAAATTATTTCCTTGACTTTCTGGGGAAGTCTGTTCTCACTTTAAAATGAAGTGTGGAGTTAAAATAAGTGCTCTATTTTATTATACCCATTTCTTTCAAGGTTTATTTGACAATTCTGTATGAACTTCCCCAACTTCCCAAAAAATTGTATTTCAATTAAACAAAGAACACTCAACTTGTTAAATACTGGCTAGGACAAGCTTCTTGTTTTCTGCACTAATGTGCAATTTAATATTGGCCTCATTTCTAAACAGTGCTTACTTGGAGCTCATTCATGTGGCAATTTAGCTTGTCCAATTTAACTTGTCCGAATAATTAAAAGCAAAAGCCTTAATGTTTTGGTCTGTGCTCAAGTGCAATATATTTTCTAAATCTATAGTGAATTTTTTAGGCCAAAGTCACTTTGGAAAACTGTCCAGTTCATAGGTTGTACTGTAATTTTTCAAAGGACAGTGTCGATTTAGAAATTTCCTACCCTTATTTCCTACCCTAAGGAAATCTACTAGTACACCAAGGAGTATTTCTGTTGAGAAGATACAATACCATGTGACCAGTCAGAAAGCAAAACTTGCTTCTATTTGGGTCAAGTAAGCAAAGTGTAGAAGGGAAGGTGAACAAATGCTGGAAAATAAGTTAGATGCAGAATCCTTCATTTTTGTTTCTGACATGTTAACATAAGCAAAATTAGAGACCTTTAACCTGAAAATGTCTTTTAAATATGTTTTTAGGACAGGTTATACTAGATCTTTTGGATTTTGATAAAATGTTGGATTTCATAAGTCACTCTTGAGTCTTGACCCTTTGAGGCTGAGGATATTTTGAATCAATTACATTAAGGACATAGGAGTTGTCCCAATACTGCATAATGAGAAGAAGTAATTTGGAATAATTAACTAATCTACCAATGAAATATTCCTCCAGAAGACTAAAATGGAACAAAATTATCACTGCAGCAAGAAAAGAACTAGTTATAATCGCAAGAGAATACTTAACTAATACTGTTGTGGAATCTTGGTAATAAAAAAATTAAATTTTGTTATTTTAATATTAAAATGACCCAAAACTTAAGGTAAAAGCAGCAGTTACACTTAGCAGTCAAAATTTAATAGCAACCACATAATGCACTGAAACAATCTTTAATTTGGAGGCAAAAAACCAAGTATAATGTAATATTACAAAAGGTCTCTAAAGCAGTGACTAATACTACATACCATCCGCATAGCAATTCATAGGAAAACAGGGCATGTAAAAGGAAAATGTGGATATCTTTCAAAGAATAAACATTGTGTTTGTCAACACCAACTAGATTTAACCCTTCTGGATATGGATTATGTATGTAGAAGTCTCACAGGTCCTAAACACTTGTTTGGCTGGTAGTTTGCAAGTGTTCTACTTTGTTTGATAGCTAACTTGTATGTATAGTAATGGTCTGAGCAGCATTCATTGACACCCATATGGGCCCACAGACTATACTCCAAACCTTCCTGCCTAACCATCAAGCTAACAAAAAAGAGGAACCTGATTTTTCATGTGTTGAGCATCTGCAGCTCCAGTTGACAAAGAAAACTGCAAGTGTTCATCACCACTGTGGGAGGGGAGAAGGGAAATGATGAGACCATTATTACTTAAAGCCTTGACTTTTGCCATATTCAGTGGAAACCTCTAAGGCAGTCCCTTGATGCTGTGTGAAGAAAATGGCTGCAGTTCTCTATGCTCTTAGGACTTCTGGTCTCATAGCCTGGAAGTAGCTTGAGATTTGGTTCCCTGATCAGGAATGGAGAAATTTATAACCTAAATCAGTAGTTTTCAAACTTTCTGAAGTCATGGAACCCTTTCAAATCATTTCTGCCACAGAACCCCTACTTCTTATCCTGTGAGCTGATGCAGAAAGTCTGGCAGCGTACTGCCTGGGCTACTTCTTTCTTACTTCCAATCTCCTTGTGGAATGCCAGCATTCTTCAGAACATGGTCTGAGAACTGCTGACATAAGCCAGTGATAGCTAACCTTTTTGACAGGCCTGCTAAAAGTTAAGGCCAGCCCTCTCCCCAAGTGCCATTCTGATCCTCACTCCCCAGAGACATGCATGATAAATTGTGTGTCCTAGGCTCTGGTATGGAGGCAGAAGGGCTTGAGCCTAACAGCCATGGGGAGCAAAGGAAGACACTGCTGTAAAAGAAGCATCACTGCGAAGAGCCAGGTTAACCTTTCAAGGGCTCTGCCAACCACTACAGTTTTATGTAGTGAAGAAGGACTTTAAGTCCTGAAATGCGTGGCAGCTGCAAGGCCAGGGAAGGGGACACCTGACACCATCTTGCAGCAACATCCTGATCCTGCTCCACTCCATGCAACCAAAGACATGCCTCCCTGCCTCTATTCTAGCATCTCCCTTTACTGAACACCTGGGACTCATGTACCCCGCATGACAACTCCCTATGCTACTTGTTGCAGATTAGCCATCCCCTAACTTAAGCTAAAGGGGGAATGCCGAGTACACCTCCCTTTAAGTGAAGGAAATGGATCAGAAGAACCCCCCACACCCATTAAAAATGTGCGTCAGATTTTAGCCTGGAAAGAATTTCTATTGTTCAGGTAACTCAGTCAAAGGGACTGCGGGAGGGGGTTTGGCACCACCTTAACTCAAGCAACATAAATGTCAGCTGGATGAATGTTATTTTTCAGTTTTCTTCTCTTTTATAAGTTTTGCACTTTGCAAAAGCTTGGGGTTTTTCCCCTACTCGCTCTTCAAAAAGGGGGTCAGGAATCATAGTTGGCACTAGATGAAGTTGTTCTTCTGCTATAACTTTAGTCTGTAAACATATCCATGTTCAGCTGTTAATATCTTGTTCTTAATCATAGAAAATATGGATTGGAAGGGACCTTAGGAGGTCATCTAGTCCAACTCCCTACTCAAAGCAGGACCATCCCCAATTAGATTATTCCAGCCAAGACTTTGCTGAGCTGGGCCTTAAAAACCTCCAAAGATGGAGATTCTACCATCTTTCTGTGTGAGCTGCTCCAGTGCTTCACCACCCTCCTAGTGAGAAGTTTTTCCTAATATCCAACATGTGTAGCACGACAGACCAACATATATAAGCTCTCTCAGTTTACTGTTCTTGACTTAAAAGTTGCAGTTACAGCTCTTATTGGGAGAAGATGGTCCATAGCCTACCATTTAAAAGGTAAAATTCACCATGGACCATGGTAAGTACAACAAGACAAGATGAAAGGAGTCATGTTAACATGCATGCTTGAAATTTACTCTTTCAATCCTAGTCCTACTGCAGTTAATAGCAAACTGACACTTAAGTCAAAGGAGGCAGAATGTCACCTCCACTCCGATTTATTTCAGCTTGTCAACAGTAGCCAACCTTATTCTCTCTACTGAACCTAAAATAAACCGAAATCACATAAACCTTTTCACAACTGTTTGGTAAATACGAAGAAGTGAATACAAAGAAACAGTGGGTCAATTTGCACTCCAAAGGGAATGCAAATAATGCAACCTGTTCTCAGTAACTTTTAGGTTGCAGGGAACATGGGTGCAGCACCACGAAGGAATCAGAACAATTGGGACATAAGCCATCATAGAAAGTTAACCAGAGTTCACTGCAATTTGCTTCAGTTAGGAGGAGTCAAAGATAATGGGGTTGGTCTTAAAGCATCTTCTTGAAATCCGAAGATACACTAAGGGCTACCTGAAAATTACATTTCAAATGTCAGAGATGTGAGGACAGTTTGACTACATTTTAACAATAACAATATTTTGCTTTATAGAGAAAGGAGAAATAAATTACAAGCAACAAGTACTTCTGATAATCTGTTTTTCCTTATAAACCCTACAATATTGAAGATCCAGTCAGCTGTGCTTACTTATACAGGGTCTTCATAAAGCACTTTTAAAGCTTTAATAACTTACGGTGTAGGCATGATAGAAACAATCTGTAAATGGCATTTAAAAGCAAATCTATTACAGTTTTAGGACAACTAGAGTACACAATGTTAGACTTTATAAGTAATAACAAATTTATTCTTAAATAAAATGGAGCTCCATGCCACTATGCTCTGAATTTACAACAGTTCCTAAATGACTTTTTCCCAGAGAAATGGATAGCAGAGGTGGACCAAGTGCTTGGCCACCTTGTTCACCTTACCTGTCCCCATAAAAAGAAGTCGAACGGTGACATGTTAAAAGTGTAGTTTATTTGTCAAAACCACGTTCTTTGGTTGAACTTAGGGACAGGTTCACCAATGCAATTAGTGCAGTAACTCAAGAGCAACTGGGAAACGTTTTCAAGGAGTTGGAAGATCGGATTGAGCACTGTATCATGATGAATGGTGGTTATGTTGAAGTCTAGTATTGTGTACTCTAGCTGTCCTAAAACTTTAATAAATTTGCTTTTAAATGCCCTTTACAGATTGTTTCTATCAGACCTACAACCTAAGTTATTAAAGTTTAAACTGCACAAGGACTTTATAAAGACCCTGTATGTAGTCAATTAGGCCCAAGGTCTCTTCTGCACACCATCCTGAAACTTCAGCCAAATTACACATTAAGAAATCAAACATTCTAAGTTACCTTTACCTACCTTGGGCATACAAAGTAAGGACAGCCTGAATGGCTACGTATACTCCAGAAAACTGGTAAGTCTCAAACATTACCTAAAAAAAGAAAACATCTAATAAGTACAAAAATTGCTAAACCTCTGTATAATCTTAAAGGGCATTTAACTTAGTATTCACATATTGCATAATCTAATCTTTACTGTCTTATGTATTCTGCAGCGTTCATCATTATGTCACAACCTGGGGCAATGACCACAAGTTGATCCTTTGTACTTTTCAATCTTTACCAACTTTTTGGAATGCTAATACGAAATCAGATTTTCAGCATATGAAAATTAGCGTGATTTACTTTGCCACAAATAATACTTAATTTTACACAGCAGTTGCTGTTAATGCAAGTAAAATAGTAATAATACCAATTAAAGTTGACAAAGGCATTCCACAACTTAACAAGGAAGGGTTAATGCTGTTAAAAAAAACAAAAAAATTCTCTGTGGGTTGACGAAACTTTGAAAATAAACCTAATCAATGAGTGGGAGGTAACAGTTGTAGAGCAGCCAAGTACTTTATTACTGAAGTGTGACTTTGGAATGAATTGTTTGTTAAAGGTGTATACACCTCTATGACTGAAGTTATAAAGCTAGCTTTTTTCAGGTGCCAAAATTACTTGATTCATTCATTCAATTAGCCTTTGTTAAATGTGCAAGAAGGCTACTGAAAGCTATAAAACAGGTCCAAACTTCAGTAAATCTGCACACAGGTCCAATTGTGAGTGTGAGTGCAAATACCACAAGGCTATTCCCTGCAGCTGTTCCTTCCTGCTCTATGTTCTTGGGTGAAGACAGAAAGGAACACAGTGTTGCCAGCTCATTTTATTGTGGTCTCATGACTTGGTGCCTTAGGAAAACAAATCCTTCAGAAATGTAAAATGCAAAACAGTATCAGGTTTCATTAAAAAAATAAGTTCCTCACCTTGTCATCATGGAGAAAATGTGAATGTAAATATATGCCATAGAGTCAGAAACCAGGTGGCAAATAATGAACCCCTCCCACCCCTTAAAAGGAAAAAAAAAAAAAAAAGGAGAAGAAAAAATAAAAAAAGTTTTATGAATGTTGGGGCCTTATTAATGAGTTTCTTATGTTTAGGGTACTGAGCATATATACTGTATTTACTTGAATATAAAGACAACCCTGAATACAAGATGACCCCAGCCAATAATCTGATTCTCTATCTGGACAAATTATAAATTTGTTACAATTTTCCAGATAGGGAACCTAATTATTGGAGATTTAACTTGAATTTGTCTACCTCCCACTGCTATGCTACAGCAGGAAAAGTAAATCGGGAGGGGGAGAAGGGGGAGTCTGTGCTCAATGGGCACCATCTTATTTAGATGAGCTGTGCTAACCTATCCTTGTGGTAGACTCTAATCAGCATGTTTCCCCAATACAGGCTGTGTGTTTTATAGTCATGCTCAGTGTTAGCTGTGTTTAAATCAACTTTGTAGTTGGTTTCCATTACTAAGCACCTGCTGTTTTTGGCAGCAGTTTAATGATAGACAGCATATTTAGTGAAGTTTCCTTGTACACAAATGTAAGATGAGGGGTTCCCCCCCACCCATGCTGATGGGGGGTGGGGGAAAAACACCATCTTGCATTGGAGTAAATACAGTACAAATAGTTTAGTTCACTAATGCTACTTATTGCATGTAATGCAAGGTAAAAGTAACTCTTTCAAATGCACTAACATCCACCTGGAATAGGCAAACCCACTTGAAAAAAAAAAAAAAACAGATTTGAAAAAAAAATGGCAAAGCAATGCTTTAAGCTAACGATAGATAGATTGATCTCTATTTAGTCCTTGTACATACCATCTTGTATGCTACTCAAAAGCCTTTATCTATATAGATTAAACTATGAAAGAAAAGTACTTACCTTATGCTCAAGGCTCTATAAACCATTAAAATATTTTAAGTACTAAAGAAACAGACTCCATATATAAGCGGATAGTGGTTCATGGAATCTAGTCCTCACTGAAGACAACTTAAATAAAAGCAAAGGAAACAATTTTTTTTTTTATGAGTCAAAAGCAATTGACCATTTCACCTCATCTCAGGCTTTTTACAAGACTCGAAGAATACCTGGATGTATGTTAACTTGCACAGAACAGCGGCATTTGCACTGTGGTATTCTGAAGCCTTTTCAGTAGCTTTCAGCATCTTAAGTTGATTAAACTAGAAGCTCACTTTCCTACTGAAAGTCAACAGGAGCTAGGTGCTTTACTGCCATTTCTGCCTTAGAAAAGAATAAACTGGAAGGGGACTTTTCTAGGTCAGTGAGTAGGCTACAGAATAGCAATATTCTTCTATGGGAGGAAAATGATTCAGATAAAAATTTAAAAATTACATTTTTTTTATATTTAAGAGAACCAAAACATATCTAAAATACTTGTGTGTGTTAATCTTTTGATTAACACATGTTAAGGTACTAGGCAGTATTTTTATGCCTCAATTTAACAGTATATTTGCACAAGATTAAAGCCTTAACTCTTACTCCCTCCCCCCTGCCTTTTTTTAATGCATGCCATATTTAGGAATAGCTGCAGAGTTGAAAGAATAAATAGGTTATTTTACAATATCAAGAGCTGACAACTGAACTTCTTCTAGCTCAAGCACATTGCAAGCAACTAGGAAAACCAACGTTTTCTAAACTACTTTTGTGCAAGCACACTTGAGAAAAAAGAAGTTGAAGACACCAAGTCCAAGGAATGTACCAACACCAAGCTGTAGATCACCTTGCCATGAGGTTATAAATGTTTGCAAGGCAGAATGGATGAGCTTCCTGACATGGAAGACAAATTTGGCAAAATACCCAGGTTGACGGTGAGGGTTCAAATTACCACTAGTTAATAACAGGCTTCTGTAGCTTCCGTTATTTAGCATGTACGCAAAATAATTTCCTAAGCTAAAAAGGCAGATATATAGCATTTTACCATAAAAAGGAAGCAAGGAAAAACTAAGCAGGCAAAAATAAGTAACCTGACTTAAGTAGTAAGTGCCTGCCAACAGTTGTAACCCTAGGTCAGTCGAGGCCTGTAAGCAACCCAAGTACAAACTGAGTTTATAAATGAAACACTTATAGAAAAACGGTATGTAACATTTTAAACTGTCAGTAACCAAGTAAAATATGCATATAGGTTACTTCCTTTACACTTTGCAATGCAACTCTAAAATTGGAAAAAAGTAATTTGCAAAGGCAAATATTTATTCTCTAACATTTATAATTGTCATTTCACTACATGACAAATACATGTTGACAGATTTAATAGGTAAGTATTAACAAAATTATTCTATTCAGAAGCAGCTTTCCTTCTATTAAGAGCAAGTTTTGTTGCCAAAATTCTCTATTTTTCTCACATTACCGTCCTTCAAAAAACTGCTTTTAAGACAAAATTACTAAAAATTGGAACGAAAATAATGTAGGCTTTTCATGAGGCACTTATAAGCCTGTAACAGATTATACCTCAGGAAATTATGCACAGGAAAATTCAAAATTCTGTGCAGACAATTCAAAAGTAGGCAACATTATATTATTATTATTTTTACAAATTAAACTAAATATAACACTATTTGTACCTTCTTTAGAAATATATGCGGGGGGGGGGG